GTTCTGGTGATGTTTAATTAAATGAAGTGTACGAGGGAACGCGACGTAGGAGGGGAGAGGAAAGACGCTTCGATAAACTCGCGCACGATGTACGGATATGGACGCCTAGTTACAACTGGATTGCGGTTCTAGAGTGCAGCACTTAGTACAAATGGAACTGATCATTAACATTCTGTGAAAATCCATTCGAAGTTTAGTTTGAAATTGTACAATGAAAAGTCGTTACGAAACGTGCACGTGCATTCGATCTTATGCAATCGATTCAAAGCTTACAGAATCGATCGTTCAATGTATAGCTCAAGCTTTCTATCCAGCTTTTTACGCTCATGCGCCCTAAAATTTGAATCACCCCTTCCTGACATTCGACGATTACCATTGTGGCAAAGACAAAGATGGCCATGATTGAAGGAAATTTTCTGTACTTTGGCAGCGCATGCAAAACAAATCAAATTTCAATTTTGGTTGAGTCTTTTTCGTTCATAATTTCATTTGAATCATTATGCAAAAGTGACCTAATTTCTCAGATTCGTAAAAATGCAGTGTACAGTGTTGCGAGGATGGATGCCACGCAAAATACGGCCAACAAAATTGTAAGCTTCCATCATTTTCCTAAAGGTGCGTGATATTATTCAAAGAGAACTGTGCGCCGGTTGTGTAGTGGTAAGCGTGACTGATTTCTCACCCCAATGGGTCTGGGTTCAATTTTGTCGCGTCACAAACTGTTTTGCGCTGTTATCTGTCTTTTTAAATTCCAAAGAGTGAAGGGTTAAAGGGGATGCGCTTCTAGATTCCTCAAAATTGCCCTTTTCTCGCTTTCTACTTTCTACAAACAATTTTCACACTGCCGTACTATAACGGAACTATCAACTTTATACTTTCATCTCCTAATCTATCGTATAACATGTCCACTTTAAGTCTGATGTTTGACGTTAAGCATCTCCAGTAATCATAAGTTTTCAACTGATATTTGAATAGAGCTGCCAAGTCTACTGATAAAATTCTGGATTAAACCGTCCAAAATTCCAAAGATCTCCCAAGTTGTAAGTTAACTACCGAGGACGGGGATCCCCAAAGCTCTGTGATTCATGGGGCAATCTTGCCTCATCTGACAGCAGGTAAGCCTCGACGATTTATAACGTATGTCATTAATTCAACATTCTCCTGTGTCTACAGCCACCTTCCCTTATCTGCTCAAGTTGTCTCTTATCTTGAACACTTTGTTAATAAGCCATCCAGGAAACCATCCATATACCATCATGGTGTTAGTTTATCTATTCAGATTGTTTACATCAGGCTGGAAAGTCGATGTGCACAAAACAAATTTATACTGAATTTATTACACATTTTGCACCCTACGAATATTTCCCCTACCTGATAGTGGTGTTAGCATAGAGGTAACTCTAAGACTAGAAGGTCCCGAAGAAACGTGCTCAACCTTTTTGGCTTAGATCTGGTACTCTCTTCGGTCCCAAGCTAATAGATGCACCCCTCGAAACATAGGAAAATCCACGCTTCCCTCATTTTATCTGTTAAACTTTCATAGCAAATCAAAACAAACATAGTGTAGTACTACAATTCCGACTAGAATGGGATACGTTAATCGATTTGCTTAGGTCCAATAGGCTAGTCAAGTAGTGAGCCAATTTAAAATCGTTAGTTTCCACCGGTTGGTGTTAGTGTGCGTGGACGAGCTATCAGTTACGTCAAATTGACGATCAAATGCATTGTTTACAATAGCTGATACGTCCCTTCGCAAAAGTAATCGAGAATTTCAGTTTCAAAAACCTTACAACTTCATCCGAGTTTATTGTGATACAGTACGATATAAAAATGGATCATCTCCAATAGGTCAAATATTTGCATTCTTTGCGACTTTACATTTTATTCTTGTATGCGATGTTGACTTTATCAGTAGCAATTTACGAATCTATTTGTACGGTAGTATACGACTTCTGGTTGTCTGGGTTTCAGGCCGAACAGTGTGCCATGCTATGTTTCGGCACCGTGTGCAGAGTTGATTACCTCTTGACACTCGTTCAAAATAATACTTTTATCGTTTGGTACACACTTAATCTAGCTCGGTAAAATCTCCAACAGCCGATTACTTCGGCATTTACTTTTGCTGATATATCTGCAAAATATCTGTTTGTTAGCTGATATCTCAGCAAAACGATATTTGTTAGCTGAGTCACGGCAATTGTTTTACTGAATCAAAATAAATAAATTGCAGAATTACTCGGCTGTTGGAATCTCGGCGAAAAAAATTAAGTGTGTATGGTATGTTCACTAGACTCAAATGGTTCCAGATTGGAACCTGATTAGCGTCCCAAAATTTGAACTCATTTAGTAAGAAACTAACTTGGCACAAACCATTTGAAGTTGATATGGAAATTACTATGGGAAAACCAATTATTTTGTTCATAGCTATCTAAAAATTCACCATATCGCTTTGCTTTAAAAAATGATAGTTATGCTCGTAGGAAACTCAACTACAACTTTATTGAAGACCACTTTTCAATAAAATTTAAGCAACAAAAGTTATTAATAATTCTAGTCACTAATGTCTTATGATTATGCTCAATCAACTGTTCAACAGGCAACATTGGTATTTCTGGCGCGTACAATATAGCACAAAATTCATGGCTACAATTAATAAATATTTAATTTGACGTTTTGCTGAACAACGATTTTGTGCGAAATTGTGGCTGAGAAAATTTTCTAATAGAAGGACTATAAAAAATTTTAACAGTACAATATGGAAAAGGCTAGAAGACAATGAACAATAAGTTTGGATTTTCCATAGTAATTTCCATATAAACTTCAAATAGTTTGTGCCAAGTTAGTTTCTTACCAAATGAGTTCAAATTATGGGAGGCTAATCAGGACCCGCTTTGGGACCGTTTGAGCGCTGTGGAGCAAAAATGTCAAATTTTGCATCAGTCCAACGTCCACCCCTGTGGATTCAAGAAATGCTTCGTCATTTAAATATCTTTTATTTGAACTTGAATCATCGTTGCGGTAAATAAAACGCAGTAGGCCTTGCCGTTTGTGCCATATCTCAGATAAACATCAATATTGACAAGAAAAATGATTAGGCTTTATCTAGCATAATCATTTCCCGGACGCTTTCTCGTACTGGCTCCGTTTGTTTTAGATTAAATTAGAATAAACTTTCAAACAATTTTATTTTTGTAGCTGTTGCGGATCTGTTAAGGAGCATTGCTAGTTCAATGTTTGAACTATCAATGCTGCATGATAACTCCACGAAAATATATTGAAAATGTATTCAAAATTTGCAAAATTTAATCTGGTGGGTGCAACTTTCCTCAACATTACACGATATTCTGTGTTATATAAACCCGATATGACACATTGGTCCTCATTCAGCCATTCTATAGTAAAACGAGTAAAACCTCGTTGCAATGATCGAACAACGCAACTATCGAAAGATAAACAAACTTTGACGTTTAACTCTTTGCAGGCAACTTTGCCTCCATAAATGCCGCCATAAATCTGAACGGGATAGGATCAAGCAAAATGGCTTTAGATAAATACAATTCAGTCAGGAAGTTTTCTTCATAAAAGCTATTTTAAAACCTTATGAATTTGTTAGGGATTTCATTAAAGCAAAACAATTTTTTTACAAATGGCCCATGCGAACCAACTTTTAAGCCACCGCCATATTACAATTATTTAGTTTGATTTTTACAAACTTCGTTTTCAATGTGTATTTCCATGGATATAACTTTATTTTGGTCAATTTAGGAATGAGCAGATATTTGAAATACGATAATCATCAGTTGCGTCCGTAACCTCACTTTTAACCTGTGCACCAACTTTCAAAACCAGATGTAATGCCATATTCATACTCGAATCGGTTGAAAAATACACTTAATCTTCTAGTTTCCTCGATATCTATCCATTGCAAGCAATATTTGGATTATTGTTTATGTTTTGAGGGTTAGTGCACGGGTAGATTGAGGTTAAGGAAACGCCACTGATAATCATAAAACATATATCGGCTGCGCTTAATGATCAATCTGAAGATTAATTAATTTTTCTTCTCGATTTCAATTATATTGTTAAGATCGGATGGTATTTTTGAATTTTTTTCTATATTGATTGAAGATTTTTCTAGTGGGTTCAGCAAGCGGCTAGGCAATATGCCTTGAAAAAGGTTTTTATTGTTACCAAATAATTTTCATTGTAGCTTAAATACGGGTTTCAAATGGTTCTCAATACGTTCGTCATACAACCTTTTTGCAGTAATTCAATCTTGAAGAGCTTCGAAAATATACAAATTGGTAATTGAAAACCTCCACCGCTATATAAAAATACGATTAACAAAGGTCATAATAAATCTTTAATCATAGACATTTCCAAATTAAAGGATAATCCTTCATTTTCGGCGAACGTGATTATCTTAGGGGTTGTCGTTGAATCAAATTGACACTAAAGAAGGTGGTGACAAGGTACACGGTAAGAAAAAATACTCAAAATTAAGTTAAAAAAAACTCAACGTTGGGTTCTATCATTTAAGGTCCGCCGTTGAGTGAATCAGAAAAGCGGCGTTGGTTAAAATTTACTCATCTATTGAGTAATAATAAATGAACTCAAATATAAGTTTATTTTCATTGAGGTTGCTCTTATGCGCCTTTAACCATTTCATTTTCACAAGCGTTGATAGACGAGTGGTCAACACACGGGCCCTGAAATCTCAACGTCCATGGTTCGGTTCCAGTCTGCTCCGTTTTATTAGTTTTTTGTCAACTTCAGGATTACTCAAAATTGAGTTTTCTTATTTAACTTAATTTTACCTAGCCCCACGGAAGCCACGTGATGAGTGAAAGGAACTCAATTTTGGGTACTTTTTTCTTACCGTGTAAGCTTATGTCCGCGCTTCATCCAAGAATTCGTAAAATTGCATGGGCATTAAGGCTTGCACGGTGACGTCACCGCCTGAAGAAATAAAAAAAACTTGCGGGCAATGTTTACAAACATTGACCGCAGCGGATGTCAAAAATTTTTTCACCGCTTTGCCTCCGGCTAAACAAATACGGTCGATTTTAATTTGTCCAGTGATTTCGCGAAGTATTTCGAGAAAAATGACAAAGAAGTGCGTAGTGCCGGGTTGTAAATCCACGCATTTAACCATAAACTCGCGTTTTTTTCGATTTCCATGCTTGAAACCCCGATTACCAAAAGCTCTGATCGAAGAACGTTTGAGGTGCTGGATTTCTGTTCTGGAATTTCGACAATTATTCAACCCTAAAGACAAATATATTTGTAATTTGCATTTTGTGTCAGGTATGCTATAAATGAAGAAATTACAACAGCCGCTGAAATTTTAATCATTTCTTGATTCAACTTAGGTGCTGCTGCAAACCTCACCGATAGTTCCAATGTGGACTGGGTACCATCATTGAACCTGCCTCTGCATAATTTACAAGCCATCAACAACTCCACTCAACAGACCAAGGATAAAAGCACCTCAGAGTCCAGTGTTTGTGATGCGGCCATCTTATCAGAAAGTTCTACTTCCAGAACTAGGTTAGATGCGATTTCTGCCTCTAGCACCAACAACAGTGTTGACATAGTGGAGGACCCAAAAATAAGAGTTAAGGAAGAGATACTCTACAATACAGATGATTTGGAAAAAACTGGTCCATCTACGATATCAGAAAAGCATTGCGCTGCAAAAGTGAGTTCGGGAGAAGGCAGTAGCCGTGTAGGCTCAGTGTCAAGCGTTGTTGATTGTCCTATGGTTCATCCTGTCCAAGAGAATCGACGTAACGGTCAGGTTTCCAATATAAGAGGCATCAAACGACCGCATGCAGATGGTAAATCCTTTCCCTTATTTATTGTAATTGTAATTTCTTTTGTTGTATACTCCTAAACAGTATATGTTAATAGTGACGGCCTTATGCTGCTGCTAGAAAAAAATAGAATGATCTTCGAATTGGTCTGCTTACAAGGTATTTTTATTTTTCTGTAGCTTCGTATAAAAAAGGGTCATCTACACAAACATCGTTAGGTGATGACGATATTGTGAAGTATTATGAGTTTGCTGAAGATCTCATGGAGTGTGGGCATCAAATTAGAGCGGTGCATAGTTCCCCTAAACAAAGGAGGATTAGCGACGAAAAAATAACAGCTTCAAATGGTAAGCAGTCATTTGTAAATTAATTGAAATATTTAATTGCAGTGAATTGTTCGTATTACAGCAACTGGTGAAAACCAAGATCCCAACACAATCGTGCCCGAGAAGCAAGCCTGCGGAAATTGTATGCTAATACCGCACTACCGCCAAGAACTCCAACGACAGTATGAACGCATCAATTACCTCTCTGCGGAATTGAATAAGTACCAGAAAGGGTTGGCCTGGCTGAAAGATGACGAAAAATGTAACCGATATACAGGAATAAGCTCCTATGCCGTACTGAAAAAAATATATGGCTTTGTGAAGCCTTATTTATTCCAAGCCTCTTGCGAATTGACTAAAGAAGAAATATTCGTGATGACATTAAGAAAGCTACGGAGAAACACACCATTCATTGATCTGGCTGATGATTACGCTATATGTGTGAACACAGCATCTAAATATTTTCATCGAACTGTAAAAGTTATGCATGATTGTTTACAATACGTTCTTGAACCTCCGCCAAAGGAAATAATCATACGGCATACTCCGCAGGCCTTCAAGCGTTACTATGGGAACAGGAGGGTGTTGGTGATGGATTGCTTCGAAGTTCGCACCGAGCGACCTGGTATCCCAAAAGCAGCAAACGCGCACCATAGCGCGTATAAAATGTCGTCTACAACAAAGTTTTTGATAGTAATGGCAGCAGATGGTAGCGTGGCTTTTGTCTCCAACGCATACGTGGGACGTTGCTCGGACAGATTTATTACTGTATCGTCAGGATTCTTAGAACTTATCGAGCCGGATGATGTTATATTAGCTGATAAAGGTTTCGATATCGCAGATCTTATAGAATCAAGAGGAGCAACGCTGAATATACCCACTTTTCTACGGAAAAACGTTCAAATGAACCCATTGAACATTGAACGTGATAGACAGATCACATCATTAAGAGTTCACGTGGAAAGAATGATTGGACGAATCAAAGCAAAGTACACTTTTCTAAATGGGACAATTCAAGTAAATTCTCTGAGACGTTCCGAAAATAACTGTAACACTGTTGATCTAATTACACGCCTTGCGTGTATTTTATTTTCTTTCAACAAGTCGATTGTAAGTGATTGAAACTGAAATAAAAAATATTGCGAAATTTATTGTAGTCAAATCGATAATCATCTCACCTTAATCGTAGAGTAACGCTTTAATTATATTCCCAAGAATCATTCATGTATTCCGTTTTTGTATGGCATTAGTATCAGTTAATTTTGCCAACAGCTCCTCTTTTACGAAATAATTTCCAAGCAACTCAGGCAGAATAATATTGTAGAAGAATAATTGACTCCGATCTACGCAATGTTTCCACAATTCCAAATCTCTTTCAACCCTGATGAGAACACTTTCTTTCTTACTCCAGATCATGAACAATCCAAAATCTGAATTTGAAAGGAAAATCTGTGCCTGAAGCTGATAATAGTACTGGTGTGTCGTAGCCATACTAATTGAATCATCTGAATTGATGTTGACGAAACTGTTTGGTTTGTTACACAGATCTTTTATGCAAAGCTGTTCATCAAGAAGGCTTCTTGAGTCCAATCGGTATGGACACTTCAATTCCACGACAAACTTTCCACAGCATTTGCATGATCCTTTTACATCTGGTGAGGCTGCCAGGAAAGGTTTTGTAGACGAAATAAACAATCCTGAATCCGATATGACAAGGCCTTGGTGATCCTTCAGTAACTTTTCCAGCTTGCGCCTCGCATGCACTTCATTGCGTCGACCATAAGCCAAAGCAGGTGAGTCAATCATTGATAGGTACGGGTGGCATATCTTTTTGATCAACGTTTTTTTAGGGGGAGGTGCAACGTTGGAAGTATTGACTGCTTCCTTCATAACTGAGGCAGTAATTCTCCCAATTCTCAACCAGCGCCATAGATCCGACTCCCTCTGGTGACGAGTGCGCATTTCTATGTCCGTTACAACATCTTCCGATAGTTTTAAAACTATTTGCCTTCCAATTTGTCGTAGTTCGTCAAGTGTCCTTCTTTCATGGCGTACATCATAGTTGGTTTGTAGAAAAATAGAAGAGTTGGTGAAAAAAAGGTGAGGAACTTCGTTCTCCTCACAACGTTTACATGTGATATTAACACCATCACATATGCGGTTCAAAACTACAGATTCAGTATTTGCCTCTTTCAGTTCTACCAAAAAATCATGAAACTTCGCTTTGCTTATGGTGGGCATATCATAAAATCTAGTGATTGATGTTCCGTAGTCCGTTTCTTTTACTGATTTAAACAAATCTTCGCGAACTTTCTTAGGAGGCTGTTTCCAGTAAGCGGGTTCATCTGTAACGGTTATCTAGAAAAGAAATAATTGTGAATGCATATTTATTAACATGCTAATGCTTCTACATCTGTATTTAAAGTCTTAATCGTCAATCTGTTTTTGAGTTTAAAATTAAACGATGTTACTGCTAAACTACTACCAAGATACCTTGCGATTGTTCGATAACGCGTGATGATTTGCTAAATAGTAAAGCAGCGCGCTTACATGGGAACAAGTTTCGCTATTCCCAGCGATGCAGGTGCAGTGCGCCGATACAACATTACCGTCTTTGTCCACGATGACCCAAGGACTTAACATAGCATCGTTGAGTCGCATTGAATGGAATACCTGAAAAATTAAACGTTATTATGGTTTGCAGTGAAACAGCTTTCACAATCATAACCTTTCCCACTACGACGTGGAAATTTCCAACAACCAACCCGCATACCGAGTGGATGAATCCTCCTTCAAATTTTTTAAAACCTTCAAGACTGCGGCTGTTTTTCATGTATTCACCTGTGTAAGGTGATCGGAAATTAATCAGGTAGTCAATTACGCTACCCGTCCGCACAGTTGTTGGAAGTTTGCTGGTTCGAAATTTTATCGTATACGGATCTTGGAATCCGATCACTTTAATTTTGTCCAGGTAGCGTTGGAAAACGTCTGGGTACCTTCGAGGAAGATTCTTGGCGTATTCCGAGAGCTTGGATACCGGCTTGAGGTCAGATAATCGTAGCATCTGAGTGAAGAAATGATTAATTCTTGTTTTATTTTATTGGTATCTTAGATTACTTACATTTTGATGGTGAATTTAAAGAAATTTTATCATGAAGAGTAATCCGATTCAAATTTTTACTGCACTCTGGAAGCCAATTTTAACAAACACTGAAACGTAAACATTGCCCGCAGCGGATGTCAAATTTTGTGAGGTTATGTCAACCGTGCAAGCCTTTATGGACACCATGTTGCGTTTGCATGTGTGTGTGATTTCGAAAAAGAGTGAACCACTGAACCAGGTTCCTTCAGTTGAGCTCAGCGTTGCCAGATATACCGATTTATCGTTATTTATACCGATTTCCGAACTAGATACCGATATACAGATAAGGTTCCTCAGAATACTGATTTTTGATGTTTTATACCGATTTATACCGACTTTTTTTTAAATAATCAAAATGATTATTGTCGGCTGGCGCTCGAATTTCGGAGAAAATTATTGTGAAAGACTTGTATATTTTCGAATAACTCAAATGTTTAGGCCTTTCAAATTCTAAAAAATCATCTTCAAAAATATCTAATGGATAATCTTTCGATTAATGTTTCAGTTTTCTCACCGTTTTTGGCTACCCATGAATCGATAAACAGTCGATAGCTCTTTCTGATAATTCTGATTCCTCTCCTTTTTTTTTATATCTTTATTAAGGAGACTTTCAGCCGTTGGCTGGCTCGTCTCCGAATACCCCAGAGGGGGGTATTCCTAGGGGAAAAGGGGGTTTACAGAGTTTTTAGAATGTACAGAGTTTTGGTTTTTGAAACTTATGTTTCCTGTCTCAGCTAGCTGTCAAATTTTCATTTCAAAGGCTGTCTAAAGGACCCCGGTAGAGCCCCACCGGCAGAGGCTGCCAGGTGAACCTGGCAGCTGCTACCGGCAGGGGTTGCCGGGCCTGCTATCAAAATAGTATTTTTCGTGTTATAGTGACTAAATTCAGGACCCCGGTAGAGCCCTACCGGCAGAAACTGCCAGGTGACCCTGGCAGCCGCTGCCGGCAGGGTTGCCGGGCCTGCTGTCAATATCGTATTTTAAATATTTTTGTAGATTCCTGCTTCCTTCGTAAAGCAGATGAGTTGGATTTCCGCTACCGGGTCGTTTTGGAGGACGTCCCGAATGTTGTCGGCCAGACCGTACAACTCCCGTGATCCGTGGAAACACGGGCAGTTGATAAGGATGTGCTCAACCGTCATCGTTGTTCGGCACGCGTCGCATCTCCTCCGGAAGCCTCCACCGCTGCTACTTCGCATGTTGTGAGTAATCCGGGTGTGACCGGTTCAAAGTCTGGAGAGTATTCTCTTTTCCGCGTAACTTTTGGTGTCCGTCCATGGGGCCGTTTCCCCTTTGACCTTTCTAATGAAAAGCTCTTGGTTGCTGTTCCATTCGTTGCCCCATGCTGACCTGATGGTAGATTTTATCCAGACTTTCAGGTCTTGTCTGGGGACCGACTTGTGGGCAAGACGGCCGCTTCGTCCGGTGGCCGCGAGGTGGTCGGCTTCAATGTTACCGGCGATTCCGCAGTGGCCCGGTATCCACATGAAGGTGGTGCCGGGTTGTGTGTGCTTCTGGATGGCCTGAATCCACGGGTGGCGTGCAGTGGAAGATTCCAATGCAGCCAGAGCGCTGGCGGAGTCCGTGAGTATGCATAGAGGGGAGGAGGATGGTAGGGAGGCCGCGTAATGTAGGGCTGCTGCTTCTGCTGAGAAGACCGAGCATTGGTCCGGGAGTTTCCAGAAATGGGATGTTCGGCCATCAGTTACTCCAAAACCTACTCGGTCCCTAGCCTTCGATCCGTCGGTGTATCGGAGTTGGTGGTTATGGTACATCGTTCTCAGTCGCTCGGTGAGGCAGGTTCTCATTTCCGCCGAGTTGTCCCCTGCTCTGAATCGGTTGGCCATGGTTCTATCTGATCGGATGGGGGGGGGGGCATCCCACTCCCTGGCTCCGACCCAGTGGAGTTTAGACACCGGAGGGAGCTCCTGGTGGGCGGTCTCTTGGAGAATTCGTTTCCCCTCCGAGAGGAGATAGAAATCTCCGTCTCCGCTGAGTTGCTCGTCGAGTCCCACGGCTCTCGTACAAACCGACTCCGCAATGAAAAACCGGAACGGTAGTGTTCCGGTCTCAATGCATGCGGCGTCGGCTGGTGTTGATGGCAGTAGACCGGCTGCAATCCGAGTAGCCTGGTTGTATATCGGTGCAAGACGGGAGATGATGGAGTCGCTGGACGCGCATAGAAGTTCGATTCCATATGTCAGTCGGCTGTGGACGATGGATCTGGCGGTGTTCATCACAATACCTCGGTTGTTCACCTTGTGTGGACCGGATAGGGAGCGAAGGATGTTTAGTCTTGTTCGACAGTTGACCTTGACCTCGTTGAGGTGGGGGCCGAACCGGAAGTTTCGGTCAATCGTGACTCCTAGTATGGAGATGGATTTCCTCCTGGGGATTGCCTGCTTGTCGATCCTAATCGGGGTCGGTAGTGGCCGGTGACCATGCCGGCAGACATGGGAAACCGAGCTTTTCTCGGCTGATATCGCAAAGCCTGTCTTGGCGGCCCATCTACCAACCGCAGAGACCGCCGCCTGCAATTTTACCTTCATTGCTTTTAGAGTTTTCCCGACTACTAGGATCTTGCTCGTCCGCATACACCAGGATGTATATTTTCTTTGGCAGTCCCACAAAGATTCCGTTCATTGCCACCAAGAAGATGGTGACAGCAATTACGGAGCCCTGTGGAACTCCAGTCTCCTCTCGCCTGGTATTGGATCGATGATTACCGATGGTCACCTGGAATGTCCTGTCCTGTAGGTAATTCCTCAGGAAGTAGAGAATATTTCCTCCAAGACCCCATTTGGACAGTTGGTGTAGGACTTGTGGTGTCCATGCCCTGTTGTAAGCCTTAGCCAGATCCAGGGAGGTCAACTCTACGTGTTGGTCCTTACGGAGTGCCTCCTGGACGATCTGGCCGAGGCTATTAAAATAGGTGCCGGTTCCGTGGCCAGGTCGAAAAGCGTGTTGCCGGTGGTCCAACAGGCTGTTCCCTTCGAGGAAGCCCGTCAGTCTTCGGTTAACCAAGCGCTCCATAATTTTGCTGCAACAGCTGGTCAGGGAGATCGGTCGGAAGTCCTTAGGCAGTAATGCCGGTCCGGGGTTTTTCGGAATGGGTACGATTAGACTGTGTTTCCAGGTTGAACAGTTCGAGGAGGGTCGCCTTTTGAGTGGGTGGAAGGTTCCTTATCATCGGGTATCCGACCTCATCCGGCCCGGCGGATTTGCCCTTGGCCTTTCTGAGGGCGAAGCCCAGCTCTTCCATTGTGAAAGGCCTGTTGATGGTGAGGTCGTTTCCGTCGTCGGGGATTTGGAAATTGTTGATGCTGGAGGTGGAGACGGAGTTGCGGTTTCGGAAACCCTCGTCGTAGTTTCCCAGGCTGGACAGCGATTCGAAATAATCGCCAAGGAGGTTGGCAATTTCCTCCGGATCTCGGGTTATTCCGTTTGGTCCTCGGAGGGTGAAGCCCCGGGCTCGCCTGCTTCCCCGGATAGCGTTGATCCTTTGCCAGATCTCGGACGCAGATTGGTTGGCATTTATCTCATCTAGGAAGCTTTCCCAGCTGGCCTTTTTGGCATCCCGGATGGTTTGCCGACACTGGTTCCTTGCGGAGTGGTACACTTCGATGGCCTTTTCTTTATCAGGGTGGCCCTGCGGTAGACGTTTGGCTGCGCGGAGGGCCTTGCGCCTGGCTTTGACGTCTCGGAAACTTATTTCGACTTCCTTTGGAAGCATCTTCAGCCTTCGCTCGAATGATTCTTCCATCTTATCTCGCCAGTTTTTTTTTTTTTCAACTTTCCCGGAACTTCAGGGATGATTGCAGATCCAAACTAGCTGCAGGAACTTTTAGGAAGTTCTGAAACTTCGGAAAAGTTCAGATTTTTTAGTAAGCTTCGATAAATTAAAGAATTCTTCAAAAACTTCTGTTAAAATTCTAAAACCCGGTTAAGCGAACTCCAGTGAACTTAAGGATACATCATATTTTTTTTGGATACTTAACAAGTCCAAAGAACTTCTGGAAAATTTAATGGTTTTCAGGACAGTTCCATTAGTTTTAGGAGAATTGAGAGAACTTTAGGAAGCTCCGAGAACATCAGAACAGATCAATAAATTTCAAGGAAATCGCTGAAATTTTAAAGGAGTTCCGAGAAACTCAGGCAATTTCCGAAAACTTCAGCAATGATCCGAGGGGTTGATGCAAATTTAAGAAACGTAAGGGAAGTTACATGAACATTAGCACATTGTGAGAACATTTTATGGGAAGTTCCGTGCTTATTAATGACAGTGTCGATAACTTTTAAAAATTAGAAAAATCGAGAAGATCAGAGAACTTCAATGCTGATGTTACAATAAATTTAAGAAACTTGCGCGCTTTAGAAATTTCGTAATCTTCAAGAAAGTCTAGAGACCTTCAAAGTTGATTATAGATATTCCGGTAGTCTCATTGTAATTAGGGAAGTTCCAAGTAAAAATGATCAGAGTACTCCAAAACAGCAAAAATCCCTAAGTACATTTCAGGAATTCCTAAAAACTTCAGGGACATTGCGGGGTCTTCAAGGATGTTTATGACTATTTGGAAAATTTCTGGATCATTAGAACATCCCACAGGAGCTCTTTCTTCCGGAATTATCTCCTTGTTTCTTTCGACTATTCCGTAAGCGCTATAGCTTCCGAATTTCTCCAGAATTTTTTTTTTCCAATATACTTTAGGATTTTTCTGCCTGTGTCTCCAGGAAGTTTCTTCCGTCTTCTCCTGGAAGTTAAATTAAACTTCTTCCAGAAATTTCTTTCACCTAGTTCTGGAATTTTGTCCAGTTGGTTTTTTTTTTTACTTCTATTGGAAAATTTTCCGAGCTTCTTCTGGCTTCCCCTGGAAATGGCTACTTCTGGAATTTACTTCCAATTTCCGAAACTTTTCTGCCTTCCTTTGAATGTGAAATCCGATTTTCTGAAAGTTTTTTTTTTTTTATTTTCGCCAGAAGTTTCTCAATTTATGTCTCAGAAATTCCGCGGATGTTTTTCCGACTTGTCTCAGAACTTTTCTCAAATTTCCTCCAGGAAAACTTCTTTCTTCTTTCTCTGGATTTTCAAACATTCCCCGGAGTTTTCTTCCGGAATTTTTCGATCATTGTCCAAAAGTTAAAACTGTTGCTTTCAAAAACGAATACCGATTTTTTAAAACCTTTGATACCGATAAGCTTTTAAATATCATGGCAACACTGGTTGAGCTTAAGAAGTAGGCTTTGCTTTTGTCTGTCAGTGTCTCGACAGACAGTAAATGAAGATGTTTTCAAGTTTTGTTTATTGACGCTACGCTTCTTCATGTATCTTATCGCTTGGAAGTGCAAATGGAAAGCCGATCACGCAAAAATAATGCAAAGGAAAAAGGGTATTCAGGAACGATTCCGAATTGCAATGGGTCTAATTGTAGACAAACGTCGTTCGGGTGAAGCCGGACCGTCTAACGACGGCAATAGTCAGCGTCAATTACAGGCGTAGATGATTCACTATTATACACATGCAAATAAATTCTAGAAGCACTTTTATCGGGATTAGAGATCGACACTACACAGCAAAAAATAATTTTGATATCACATCAAAGTGGATGCACTACAATCATGTCGAAAATTTCATGTAATTTTTATGACCACATAAATAAACAAATGCAGTAAAAGCAGCGTAATGTCAGTTCATGCATTGTATTAATGATAATTTTGTCCTTTTTAGCAAGTAATATTACACCATAATTTCAACATGATTGTAGTGCATCCACTTTGACGTGATATCAAAATTATTTTTTGCTGTGTAACAGGTTTCAAGAATATTGCTATCAAACAGCGAAAAGATTGATTGACAACTGTCCGTGATATTACCTACCAGTATCTGTTCATAAAATTTTGCTGCATGGATCACAAATAATATCGTCGTTTCTTGTTCCGGTCTAACAATTGTCCGAAGATGCCCAGGAGTGCCGAAACTCAGACATCTAGCGCTACAGGATAGATCATACTCGTTAATTCTCCAGAACTGCAACGAACACAGATCTCTTGAATCGGCTCCTGGAATCATCCGACCCCCTCATTTCAAGTCTACGAGAACTTCCTGGTAAAAATAGTACTTACTACAACTTTGAATAATGAGAAGGAGAAATATAATCTTTAATTTAGTTTTTTTTTGTTTTGTGTTATATTTTTTTAAGCTACCAAGGTTTGCTCTCATGCGATTAGACTACCATGCGTCGTGACCATGTTACAATCGCTATGAATCAATCAAGAGAAAAAAAGAAGCATTTTTAATTACTTTTCATTTGATATCATCATCTTTAAAACAATGTTGCAAACATTCGGATCAATGAACACTCAGTACCAGTATTTGAGAGATACAACTCACAATGTTCATTTTCCTACCAGGCTCTCACTACGAATAGGACAGAGGCAATAAAAAAAAATATTCCGACTCAACTCAGCTGGAGAACAGACAAATGCTGAGAATGTGTTCTTCTAACCAGACTGTCTCTCTCTCAGTCATTGAGATTAGTTCTGCCATAAACGCACAGTGCATGGATGAGAATGAGACTGTTGAAATGATTAATTTCGGTAAGTACCGATAACAATCATTTTTAAAACTGAAAAAGAAATATGAAATAATCTGTTGTGATATGCAAAACAGCATCAGTAAGAATAACAGCAATAAGCTTCACCCATGAAACAGAACGCTGACTGCGGCAGGCAGAGATAAAAAAAAGCTCTCTTTCCCTCTTTTTGTCGTGTCTCCGTATCCGTACAGAATAACCAGTAAAATCTCACGCAACCATTTACTCAGTCACTCAGTGATTTAAGCCACCTGAAACTCGAGCGGCACTCACTCAGTGCCCGAGTTTACTCGGTACCGCCTTGGATTTCTAGATAGAGCTGGAATTAGGGCCAAACAGTTTTTGTAAAAAATGACTTCTCTTGATAATTTCAAGAAATTTATGGCTTGCTCACGCAAACCAACATCCTCATCGGGTAGGGAAAGACTTCCCCTATCCGATGGTTAGGTTGGTCTGCGTAGACGTGCCTTAAATTCCCAGAAATCATCGGTAGAAGTCATTGTTTACAAAAGCTGTTCTTTTCATAGTGGAGGCGAACCAGCCTAAGGCTGAAAGCCTCCTAAATAAAGCTAAATAATGATAATAATTCTTTTCATAGAATTGGCGTTGACGGCGACTCTGTAGCTCTGTACTCCTATGAGAAAATTCATAAGCAAATGTCAGACTGTGAAACATGGCGGACTTTGTACTATCCTTTCACTCCACCGAAAGTTCCCATAAGAAACTGTCGATATTTGCTGGAAAGCAAATTTTTCGACGGTGCCGTCAACGCCAATTAACGGATAAAGGCGTAAACGTAAAGGGCAGTCTTTCGCTCTTCTCTTGAAGCGGTAGGTGACTGATGATCAGATACAATTTTGGTTTGTAGTTCTCTCCCGTGGAGATTATAGTCGATTTCAAATCGCGGCTTTGCTCATCAATCAGGAACATTGCGTTTAAAATCCCAGTGTTAAAAGTTATGAATTTTTGAAATTTTTTTTGACCTTCCTAACATGGAAATGGTCATCCCAATGATAAAATAAAAAAAAAAAACAAGTCTAGTAGTTTGCGATAAGGACCAAACTACTAATTTTTACGAAATTCTGAGAACCACTATATCGTTTTGCTATGGAATGGCTGTATTATTAGTGCCACTTCACGGTGAAAACGAAGTGAAGTGATAAGTGGTCATGCACGGTGAAGTGATTCCCGGGTGAATCGAATAGGAATCAGTTAACCGTCAGTGAATAGTTGTCACTTAATTTCGTATTCACAGTGAAGTGACACTTAAAATTCAACAAAACGAGATGTTCATATTTCACATATTTCAGTCGAATCAACTAATTTAATGAAGATTTTTACTCACCATAACCTTCACCACTGTCATGTCTGGCCATAGTCTACTGTTGTGGCATATGCGCCGTTTCCTGCGTGAAAAATGAAAAAAACAAGAAAACAATCTATTACTACAACTTAAACCCCACACAACATGCACGATTTAAGATCGTACCGCAACTGAGCAGAGGGTAGCACCTTGCCTTTCACAGAGTTCTCTGCTCAGTTTGATAACGAAACTACTGCATTCGCGGTATCTCTATCTCAGATTCCAGCCAACATCGTTCAGGTTGTAGTGCCAAAGCAATCAAACCCTCCGAACATTACTCTCAATAGGTTCCTATTTGACATTGTTACTGTTGCTGTAGACTACAACAACTGCAATGAATGATAGCTGCCAACAGGTTTGTGATAAGAGTGAGCTTGTAATTCGCTGGTTGCTGTTGTACGGTTGGAGTTTAAGATGTTCTGAAACGTTTGCCTATGTTGAAACATTAAAATAGAAGGGGATGCATGGCAATGTGTGCTTAGTAACCTCTAATTTGGTTAGCAATTCCGGAAATCTTCATCATTTTGTCCTATAAAGTAGGTTAACCATTGAAAAAGCATGCATTCTGCATAACCATGATTTCGAATGATATTATGTGTCACACTTGTCAGTGTGAGATACATTTTCCTTCCATTCTTGAGTGTCTATTTACTGATAGTGCATGGCCGAAGAGAGTAACTCAGTAACTGCGCCGAATTCAACTCGAAATTGCTAAAAGTGGGGTTACTCAATGATGAATAACAATCAAAATTTTAATCAGTCTTGGAATATACTAAATAATATACTAAAACAAGTTGACTCACTCTCTTTTTTCCCATACAAATTTTACTCAGTTTCCTAAAAAGTTGAGCTACTATGAGTAACTCCACTTTTTACGAAACTTAGTAAACAATTCTTACTTACTTTCGACGGCCTTGTAGATGGAGTGAATTATTGCTAGATTTTTTTTCTTATTCAACACGCAAAATAAATGTCTCTTACATGCAATGTAATTCTGCATATATTCCATACAACAAATGTAATGGAAGTTCTTGCAATAGACTGCAGCGTACAAGGAACTTTTTTAAGCAATGCATATTTTTGTATAAAACCTTCACGAGATGAATTTCTAGACGCAATGCATTTGGGGAAACATACTTAGTTCGAAAAATAACCAAGCATAAAAATTACAATACTATTTTAAAAACCTTCCGGTGACCGCATTACAGAATTTGTTCACGTCGCGAAACATTGCAAGTTCTGCATAGTTTGCATACAAATCTGTAAAAGCATCTAACATTTCCCGGTTGGCTGAAGTAGTTTTCCCTGGAAAATCGGGGAAAATTTTACTCATTCAATGAGTAACTCCACTTTTTTGTGATTTTGAGTCAAATACGACTCAATGTAGAGTTACTCTCATTGGCTGTGTATCACTCAAACAAAAAGTTCAATCAGTCGGTTGTGGTGGAAAAATGATAAATACTCGCGTCGCTTTTCGATTCTCTCTTTCGTCAATAACTAGGCTGCATTCACATTTCCTTCTAATTTTTCTACATGGCCTGACGTAAGAGAGAGTCTCGATGAAGAGAATCGATCAATGCAGATTGGTCTATTTGAAAAGTTATGCGAGAATACTCGAACGAGCAGCAGCCTGTGCCGGGTTACGAGACGATCATATTGGATATGGTAAGCTAAGCGTACAAAGCACTCTTTGATCATCGGCGACTGAACGCACGCACAGTTGCTTGCTGTGTGCAGTTATGGTGACCGGTCATAGACCTCTCGTCTGATGGTAAAAATGATGTTGATTCAACGCAACTGACCTGATCGGATCTACGCCAATGAATGTGTTTGCAAAGCAATGTAATGTCCACATCGCTAAGGGCACTCAAACATGGCAACCAAATTGTAAATCAATCCTATCCCTATCCGCTTGAACCGATCTCGATTGCTGGAATGATGACTCACACTGATTTTTGCTTCATTTGGACGATCACTGATAAAAGGAAAAAGTATCCAAACCACTTGAGAGAGAGAGAACACCTAGAGAAGCCATGATGATGACGTAAACCGACAAGACACTCATGCTATCAATCGGTAGGAGTTTGGTTCGCGGGCGAGGTTTTTCCCATCCACATCTGGGTTGGAAGATACGTGTTGTGACTCGGTTCAATTTACGTGTAAAAATAAATCAAAACCATGTGAACGTTTTTGAAAATTGAAAATTGATTATTAGCTGCCGTAGTAGGCCGTGGTGGCAGCAGTCGGTTAGTGACGTTTTCGCGAGACATAGATGCGAGGAATAGATGATATACTTGAAGAATTGAATGTTAAAAATTGTTTTAAATCAGGAGCGTAAGGAGACTAGACTCAAGTCGGTAGGCACATGGTCTCAGTATCGTTTCCGAAAAACAACAAGTTTGTCTGAGTCCGCATCGTATTCTCTTGCCGTGTGGATCTACAGTGTATCTCAAAATTGAGCGTACACCTAAATGGGAATTTTTTGAAAGACTGTGAGTAGATAGATTTTTGAAATCTTTGCTAGTAGTTGAAGAACTATCTATTGGTTTATCAAAATAGCTTTGGACTTTATTGGCAAAGTTTGTATGAAGTTTGAGTAATTTCAGTAAAACGATCGATTTTCCTTTTTTTATAGTCGGCGGATTTTAGTAAAATTAAAAAAATTAAGATCTTTATTATGACTACAGATGAGCCTTGTATTTCATGACAATATGTTTTTTTTTTTAGGAAATCTAGTTTTTCTTAAATAGCTCTAACTTCTTCCACACTTATCCAAATAAACCTAATAAGGGGAAATGGCTATTGGATCTAAGATTGGGTAAATCGCTAAAAATCTGCTATTTATCAATTTTATCTAGATGAACGCGTCATTGGGACGGTACTAATGGATATTTTTGGTCGCTATTGAAAATTTAGTCGATTGCCGAATTTATGTATGGGCCCAAATTAGGGGCATTTATCAAACATCAAATCTTGTCCGGGGGTGATATTTGAACTCGTGACTTTAGCGTGAGAGGTATGGATGTTAACCACTACGCCTGGGTCGCCCCCGCCCCACATCAAAAATCTTCTTCGCTAGAAACCAAAGTTTTTGAAACTTTGGGAGTCTCTGTCGAAACCAAATTTGGACAACTTAGGTTTATAACTGCCTATTTGCCATTTCAATGCGTAGGCCAGCAAAATAATTTTCTCACTTACTCACCCGTCACAGGTCTAAATTCTTCATTATTGGTGAATTTAATGCAAAATACCCGCTCATGGAATAATGTTCAAAGCAATCCCAATGGTAATATTCTGTTTGATGATTGTTCTGCAGGTTATTACACTATTCAATATCCAAACAGTCCAACATGCCTTTCTTCAGCAATAAATCCCTCAACTATTGATTTGGTCTTAACTGATTCATGTCAACTTTGTAGCCAATTGGTTACCCATGCTGACTTCGGTTCTGATCACCTTCCAGTAACTTTTGAAATATCCCAAGAAATAATTTCTAATCCCAACAGCTCTTCTTTCAATTATCATAGATCTGATTGGGAGCAATATCGAACATTTATGGAATATAGCTTTGATCCAAACATGCCTTTGCAAACCAAAAATGATGTTAATTATGCTCTCGAATATCTGGCTACTTCTATAATAGAAGCAAGAGCTGCCTCAGTACCAACATGCGAGGTTAAATTCGATTAATTTATAATAGACGACGATCTTCAGCTCTTGATCCGTCTGAAAAATGTCCGTAGGAGACAAAATCAAAGAACACGCGATCCTGCTATAAAATTTAGCTGACAGGATTTGCAAAAAACAAATTAAAATCGATTTTCTGCCCTTAGGAACAAAACTTTTGAAAATAATGTTTCGAAATTAGACCCGAGAGTTTCCAAACCCTTTTAGAAAATCACAAAAATTATGAAAAAAAATCTCAAAAGCCTATTCCAGCGATTGATTAAAGGAGGTGGTAAAATTTTGATCACAAATTCAGAAAAAGCACAGAAACTTGCTAAGCAATTCGAGAGGTCACATAATTTCAGTTTATGTCCTCACCAAAAACCTCCCAGAGAGTACCCAGTGGCGTAGCTAGACAATTTATCTGGAGGGGGGCCTAAATAATTATGGAGGGGTCCTGGCATCCCCATTAGCTACGCCAATGAGAGTACCTTGACTTTCTTGGTAAAATTTTTAACAGATGTTTTCATTTGGCATACTTTCCTGATAAATGGAAAAATGCTAAAGTTGTTCCAATTTCGAAGCCTGATAAAAATCCAGCTGAAGCTTCTAGCTACCGTCCATTAAGTTTGCTTTCTTCTATAAGTAAACTTTTTGAAAAGATAATTTTAAATAGAATGATGCTTCACATCAATACGATCTCAATTTTTGCAGATGAATGGTTTGGATTTCTTCACGGGCATTCAACTACTCGTTCAAAAAAATGTGAAGGCTGCTCAACTGGAGTTGCTCTTCTAGACATAGAAAAAAGCATTCGACAGTGTTTGACATGAAGGTTTGATTGTCAAAATCATTTAACTGAGAGAACTCTGCAGGTAAATTATCAAAATTCCAAATCTAATCGACTACCTGTTAGAGCCGGAGTTCCTCAGGGTAGCATTCTTGGGCCTATATTGTATAACATTTTCACTTCGGACCTCCCTGATTTGCCTCAGGGTTGCCACAAAGCTTTGTTCGCTTATGACACAGGCGTTTCCGCTAAAGGAAGAAGTCTTCGTGTTATTTCCAGCATACTGCAGAAAAGTTTAGATATTTTCTCTTCTTATTTACAAAAATGGAAGATTTCTCTCAACGCTTCCAAAACTCAACTAATAATATTTGCACATATATTTATATAGATATATCCAAACATAAGCGAAGAGGAGATCGATATAGCGCCGTGATAACGATCGATGTCAGGAATGCGTTCAACAGCGCAGCTGGAAAGCCACATTGTCAAAGCGCTGCATAGAATGAGGGTCCTTGACTACCTGTGCAGGATTCTGAGAAGCTACTTCCAGAATCTGGTTCTGGTCTGCGAGACAGACATGGGACAGA